GTTTTTATAGATCTCTTTGTTTGACCTATGTAAGAGAGACCACATTCACAATCTAGCTTGTACACACCTGCATCTTGTAGAGGAATATTACATTTGATGGATGGTAAAAATTGACTAATCTTCTTCAGCGGCTTGTAGTATATCTTAATGGACGCTCGCTTCAAGATGTAGCCAATCTTGTCCGTGACTCCTCCAACATATGGTAGTAGAGCAGGTGCGCGCTCGACTGTTGCCGGCTTCACTCGTTCACTGTGACGTAGGCGCGGGACCCGAAGCTTGTTGTCTTGCAATACTTGCTTGACGTGCTGAAGCTCCGCGGCCAGATGTTTTCTGTCACAGATCCCTCGTGCTCTCTGAAACAAAGATTTACCCACGGTAGCTAACTGTGAAGGATGATGGTGAGATTCACCATTTAGATATCGGTTGGTATGGGTCTTTTTCCTATACACAGTGTGACCAATAGTGTTATCAGGATTTCGGATGACTAAAACATCTAGGAAAGCTAAAGAATTATTTGCCTCTAACTCCATTGTGAATTGTATTTTAGAGTTTATGGAGTTAAGGTGGTCTAAAAATGCAGTTACTTTGTCAGATGGTAAAATTGTGAAAGTGTCGTCTACGTACCGCTTGTAGAACCTTGGCTTTACAGGAGCAGTAAGAAGGGCTTTCTCCTCAAAGTCCTCCATGAATATGTCGGCGACTATGGGAGACACAGGTGAGCCCATCGCCACACCATCTACTTGCTTGTAGAACTCCTCCTCCACAATAGATAGCCAGATGTGAGGCAATGTTCAAGTAGTATTGCATATTCTTGAGGCATGTTATTTTCTTCTAGCTTCCTAGTTACAATTGAGATGCAGTCCACAATAGGTAGGCATGTAAATAGTGACTGAACATCAAAACTGACCATAGTTTCATTGTTAGCGAGATGTAGGTCTTTTATCTCACTCACAAAATGGTATGAATCCTTTGTGTGTGCTCTGGTATGACCTCTTAGTGGTGATAGTATTTTTGCTAAGTATTGTGCCAGCTTATAAGTTGGTGAATCGATCTGGCTCACTATGGGACGTAGTGGAGCGTTTGGTTTGTGTATCTTCGGTTGTATGGGTTACCGAAGATACACAAACCAAAAGATGGTGTGGCGATGGGCTCACCTGTGTCTCCCATAGTCGCCGACATATTCATGGAGGACTTTGAGGAGAAAGCCCTTCTTACTGCTCCTGTAAATCCAGGGTTCTACAAGCGGTACGTAGACGACACTTTCACAATTTTACCATCTGACAAATTAACTGCATTTTTAGACCACATTAACTCCATAAACTCTAAAATACAATTCACAATGGAGTTAGAGGCAAATAATTCTTTAGCTTTCCTAGATGTTTTAGTCATCCGAAATCCTGATAACACTATTGGTCACACTGTGTATAGGAAAAAGACCCATACCAACCGATATCTAAATGGTGAATCTCACCATCATCCTTCACAGTTAGCTACCGTGGGTAAATCTTTGTTTCAGAGAGCACGAGGGATCTGTGACAGAAAACATCTGGCCGCGGAGCTTCAGCACGTCAAGCAAGTATTGCAAGACAACAAGCTTCGGGTCCCGCGCCTACGTCACAGTGAACGAGTGAAGCCGGCAACAGTCGAGCGCGCACCTGCTCTACTACCATATGTTGGAGGAGTCACGGACAAGATTGGCTACATCTTGAAGCGAGCGTCCATTAAGATATACTACAAGCCGCTGAAGAAGATTAGTCAATTTTTACCATCCATCAAATGTAATATTCCTCTACAAGATGCAGGTGTGTACAAGCTAGATTGTGAATGTGGTCTCTCTTACATAGGTCAAACAAAGAGATCTATAAAAACCCGCGTGAAGGAACATATAGCTGATGTGAAGCACCGACGCTCCGGGAAGTCTGCAGTCTGCGAACATGTTCAAGATCGTCTCCACCATTACATTAGATTTGATAAACCACAAATTCTCGCAAAAGAACGCCGATTCCTACCAAGGATGATACGCGAGGCTATTGAAATTAAAAAACATCCAAATTTCAATAGAGAAGATGGTTGGGTGCTACCATCTGCTTGGGATCCTATAATCAACAAAATTAAACCCAAACCCAAGCATACCACTGCAAGACTTCATGATACTATAAGCTCGTTTTGCGTAAATCGGACCAAAAATTAATATTAAAAAACTGAAGGTAGCCGGACTAACTATGACATTGGGACGTCAAACATCTCAGTCCCCCCCGTGACCATGGGCGCTGTAAAGCACCCGAAACGTCGGGATAATAATAAAAATAAATTAAAGTAATTAAACGCGATAAAATCCGTAAATAATAGTTTTATCCAAACATATAAATTGTAAAGTAGCTGCAGGTATCTATAACCACGTAAAAGATATTCCTTTACTCCAACTTGTCCATGCTTCCCAAAACAATTTTTAATTAAGCTTTATATTATAATGCGGATTTTTTTATATTTAAAATTTTAATAATAAAGCATTTCGTACGTCTCAGCCGAGGCGCAAATATTTTTCGGCCGCAAATTTATAAGACCGATTTGTTATTCAAACATAAACATGGTTTTTTAATTAAATCTACCAATCATAAAACGACACGCATTTTTATTGAACACTTCCTATTCAATTCACAAAGTACCTATTATATTTGTTTATATAAAAAGTATATTTAAGTACAATCATAAAACTAAATGGAAACACAAAGTAGGAAAATGCATTGAGTTATAAAACACATAAATCAATGGGCAAATGTAAAAATACTGGAGGCAGGCAGCCCTATCGCATGTTTACGTACCGCACGGCTGTAATATTTATTTCTAAGATACGGCCGAGTTACAATATACCGTGACGTAAGCGCATCGGTTGGTAGGTACTCAAATAATATTATGTTTGCGGCGAAATACGGAACGCGGCGACCAGCGACGCGGCCACCTCCTACGAACGCATACAGCGTAATGCCGCCCGCACTCTGCGCACGCCCCTTTATCATAGAAGTTACACAATTTTCGGAATTATTTCAATTAAAAGAGAAAAAACGAACCTAAAAATTTAAATAAAACGTGTAGAATATAGATTTTTTAATTATCTATCTATTAGTGTTATCCTCAAATGATTAGAGCGTTGCGTTTAGCAACAGATGCATGTAATCAAGAATTGTAGTCATTTTTTAAAAGTTGATTTTAAATGTATTTATAGCACATAAAAATAAATTAGAACGTGGAATGTGATGATAAGATATCGAACATTAATAATGTACTTTTAGATGTAGTTTATTTTTCATAACTAATGAGATAACAGAGTCTGAAAAACGCACTTTCGCAACATTTTGGTCAGGGATTCACCTTAAGTAAAAAATGAAGAAGAGATAGTTTACGATGTCTTTACACATTAAACTGTAATTATTTCTCAAAACGTGAAAATAACTTACACGTATATCTTTAAATCGAGTCACCTTTCTATAATTAACATCTCATCCTCAAAACTTTATTGCTTAAATAAAATATTACGTTGTCTATAGTTTCAGACATTAAATAAAGTACCTCGATGACCGAGCTTTCCTCTGTATTTGTTTTGAAATCGTGTGTTTTGGAAATTATATTTAGATACAAATTACATACTGACGAAACATGATTAATATTTTTTGATCTTATTGACAAAATAGAAAAAAACTGAACTGAACTTTTCGTATTTTTAAAAAATAATAAAAAAAGGGCTCCAAATAATAGATTTTCTTACAAAAGAAGGGAAGTTGAAAAAAAAAAGGAAAAAAGGTGGTTGCGACGGCCCGATATCCACTTGAGCTATTACATACATACATAAACACTCACGCCTGTCACCCAGAGGGGTAGGCAGAGACTACGGACTTCCATTTGGCACGATCCTGACATACCTCTTTCGCCTCCTTTACATCCATATATTATCTACGCATACATGCTCGTCGGTTAAGGGTACTTCTAACGTGGCCCATTTTCAAAATATCGCCAATTTGGTCGATAAACTTTTTTCTAGGGCGTCCCTTCCCGACTCGGCCGTTCACATCTGCCATATAAATTTGCTTTGTCACTCTTTCCTCATTCATTCTTTCTACATGACCAAACCACCGAAGCATTCCTTTCTTAATCCTGGTCACAACATCATCTTGCATACCACATTTATAATTTCTCACCCTGTGATTCAGATTCAACCCTAGCATATTCCTTAAAGACCGCATTTCTACAGCATTTATTCTACTTTCGTGCTTCTTCTGCCACACCCAGCTTTCACCACCATACATTAAAATAGGGACTAACACAGCATTATGAATTACCATACGTGCCTTTTTTGACACATTCTGGTTCTTCACAATAGAGTGTAGTGCCCCATTCACTCTATTCCCTGCATTTACTCGTCGTTCTATATCCCTATCATATCTACCATCCCTGCTAAATACACATCCCAAATACACAAACTCATCCACTTGCTCAATTAACTCTCCTTCTATTCTTATTTCACATACCGTTTTGCTTTCATCTCTTTCAAAAACCACTTTCGTCTCACTTGCGTTCACTTTCATTCCCCTTTCTTTTAAGTGTCAAAATTACCTTCTTATATTGTAGCAGTTTTTCATTGCCTGAAAACGGACAAAACGACATTTTCTAAAAATGAATCCTAACTAGATCAATTTATTCTCCCCGAAGCCCCTCGAACACTAATTTTTATGAAAATCGTTGGAGCCGTTTCCGAGATTACGATTATATATATATATATATATATATATTAAAGGTATAGGATAACGTCTGTACAGAGACTTTGTCGTAATAAGGATTTATTTGTGAACTATTGTTTGTTTTGGTCATTCCCTAGGAAAATAAAATAAAACATGCTTCTTCTTACTAATTTTTCTTTAACGTTTAAAATTATAACTAATACATTGTATACTAATAGGGAATGAAAAGACACGTAGCTTATTGACGAGTTCATTTGTCTCTTGCAGTGTCACCAAACCTCAAACTTAAGTCATTACAAACTGCAGTCCAGCTTCTCCGTCAATGCCACTCGATCGTGAAACTCCTGAAAAACAGAGACCCGGAAGACCAGAAAGAGACACCGAGACCGGAGGACGGAGATGAAAAGACCACGAAGAATGAACACAGCCTTCTATGTCTTTACGAAAACCGTCTACATTACATATTAAAGAGCATCATACAGTATTGCAGATCGAAGTCGAATAAAGATTACGATAAAATGACAGATATGTATAAAAAGCTGTATTGTGCCAGTTTGAAGATTAAAAAGGATGATGATATTAGGTGTTACGCGGCCAGTATATGCGACGTGCTAGAGACAATGGACGAGATCTCAAAGGAGTTCGAATAGAGTGCCTTAATTTATTTTGTGTTTGTTCCATCTTTGTTTATTGAGCGATAAGAGAAATCAATATATTATAAATAAATGATTTAGGAGACGTAGACTTGTATTTATTTGTTATTTCCCATAATTTATCGTTAAGGGAGGACTGGACAAAAATAAAAAACATATTATTCCATGCTCCATAGCGTAGTGACTCAGCATTAAGATGCTGCCCTGAGGATTGTCATTTTCGTCTCGCATCCTTGATGCTGCTCTCGCTCCATGACATTGAACCAGATATTTTGCAACGAGAACAGTTCTACATCTGTTTTACATCTATGGACAGTCGCAACCAACTTCAAACGAATAAGGCCACACATGTGTTTTCACCTCACCTCGCCTCACAGCCTGTACTCGTACTGGCTTTCATACTCATACCGATACTCTTAGTTTTTAATCCAGAACACTTTAGTAAGTGCATTGCTGCTTGGCGACAAAAATAAGTAACAACAAAATCAGAGGCGGATAAAGTATCGACAGCGCCCTGGGCTAGCACTATATGGGCGCTACTATATTATAAATACGTATTTTGCTAATGTACCTAAAATATAGTTGAGTGGAAAAAACATGAAAGCGGTGTTAAATAAAAATCTACCAGCATCGATAAAGTAAAGTAAAGTTACAGCCTATATACGTCCCACTGGTTTTAGGGCAAGGAAGTGTCCGCCGCGCTGCCCCAATGCGTGTTGGCGAACTTCACGTCTTCGAAATATTTTTTTCTTATTCTTCAGACATGCAGGTTTCTTCACGATGTTTTCCTTCACCGCCGAGCACGTGGTAAATCAGCACTTAAAATTGCAATTAACAATTTCATTGATGCCGGCGGGGATCGAACCCGGGTTACTCGCGTTCTGTTATATTTATAGCGAGCGTTAACCATCTGAGCTACCACGGCTCTTACAGCACGAGCATCGATAATCTTAGAGAATTTCTCACTGGGCGTCTACGCCCAAACTATCTTCCTCCTGGGCCCGCGTAAACAGGGTAGGGAGAGTCCGACTCTTGAACCACGTCCACATGGGTACAGACTCCGTGCTGCAACTGATCCTATCCACGGAGATCGTGCTTCTTGGCGATTTCAACGCTCACCACGCCGAATGGCTCAGTTTTTTTTATAGGATAGGGTGACAAACGAGCACACAATCCACCTGATGGTAAGTGATTGCTGCGGCCCATAGACATCTACATCTATCCTCGATTACAAATTAAAATGCAGATGCGTTGTCACGTTGCCTCGTTTCCAGTAAAAAGGGTCTCCGGTTCTCTACACTCACAATACGAAACTCAGCAGCATTAAGCTGCTATTTTACGCTGGTATTCTGTGAGAGCGTGGTCCTCCCCCGGTCGAGCCGACCCATTCGTGCTACAACTATACTGCTAATATAACTGCAGCATGGCTCTACCACGTAGTTCTCGTACTACCGATCACGCGAGGAAATCTGTATATGACTGCTTTGGCATATGGTCTGATACAACTGGTCACTTCGCCCACCCGGATTCCAGATGTGGAAGTGCACCTTTCCTGTTGGCCCTTCTGCTGAACTCTCATCCGGATAGATATCAAGTCTCCGTCCATGCCCGTCTTGGCTCTTTGGATCATTGCATGTAGTGATCTGTCGGCGTGTGTGGAATTATAGGTCGGCGGTTTGGGATGGGATGCAGGCTTTTTATACATTCTACCTATGGGGTCGGATTTGCTTCTCGATGGATGATTCCAACATCGTTGGTGAGTCTGTCGCCGATGTGGTGCTTCAGGCGATGGAAATTTTCATCCCATCATCTATAGCACCTATCGGCGGCAGATCCCAGCATTGATTTGGTCTTATTACGTCGCGGCAAAAGCAGGGGTGTTACAAACCTGGGCCGACGCATTGGCGTCCCGGAATGAAAACACTAGCACACTAAGAAAGAAGTACAACTCTGCCTCCAGATCCTTCAAAAGAGTTATCGCTAGGGCAAAGTCGGAGCACAATTGGCGAGAAACTAGTTCGCCTCCCTTGGAGAACTCATGCATTGCTGTTTTCTCGCCAAGGTTGCCCAAGGGAATTTCTGTAAGCCATTATTACAATTTCTACGCAAGGATAATGACCCACTCACCCACGCCTTAAAGGAGAAAGCTGATCTTTTAGGTTCTCTTTCCGCTTCAAACTCCACTCGCCGACCGGGGAAATCTACCACTGACCATCTCGCAGTGTGAATGCTCAAAGCAGGATGTTCGGTTCATGCAGTGCTCAGTGCGTAAAGCACTACTGTTCCTGGATGTCCATAAGTGGAGTGGGTCTGATAAAACCCCCCTAATTGTGCTGAAGACGTGAGTAGGGTAGAATTGGCGAATGCATCTTGTGTGTACTCGTGTAGGTAGCGGGGACTGTTAACGAATGATGAGGGCAGAATTACCATTTTACCTAAATATCTGGGGTTTACATTGGCGTCGCTAGAAACTGCATCTTGTAAATGTATATAATTCTCAACGCGCAGCTTTTTTGATTTAAAGATATATAACGGAGACGTTCACTTTCTACCTTCACATACATGTCTACCAAAAATTGATGAAATAATTGTCTACACTGGGCTAAGAGGTTAAAATCATTTTCTCGCAACATCATATGATACGCATAAAAAACCATACATGATACTTTTTTGTTCGGAGTAGGCTTCTTTGTGTCCGGGTTAATGAGTGGAATTTGAAAATGATAACCCTTTTGTCCTTTGCAAGAAATCAATGGGTATTGCAGAGCGTCATAAAACTTGTGTGTATCGGCTACCCGTTGCATCGAATCATCACGTGCTCGCAAGACAATGTCTCGTGAAGAAAATTGATCACCACTAATTACGGCTGCTATTTCGTTTATCAAAGGTGCATTGTAGCGCCTTTCATGCTCTCCTCGAGGGGTCCGATCTGCGTGAATGACGACTTTATAATCCTCTTCAGGTAGGTTTTCTAAAGCAGTTTTAAATGTTTTGACTAAAATGTTACGTTCATGCAAGAATCTTTGAATTTTGAACACTGTGTCTCTCTCAACTCCCTGGATAAATTGGCAGCGACGGTCTACCTCAATTTCTTCGTCACCCATAAAATATACTTCTGTTCTTTTTAAGCTGGAAAAAGTGAACCTATTCTATGATAAATTTACCCTTGCACCGTAAATGTAGGCGAAAATCCCGGCATTATTATTTCCCGGTCAACTCCGAAGGACGTCATTTGAAAGCATGAGTTATATTTCCGGACCCTGTTTAAAAAGCGCCGAGACTCATTAGCATTCTATAAAAAGAGAGTTTTCAAAGGTTCTTCTGGTTTCCCAAGTAACAGAAGAGACACTTTGCCATTGGAACACTACATGCCTGCGGTCTCATCTTTCCAAAGTTGGCAAAAGTTAAAGTGGTGCAAAATCGACACGCCTTGTCCATCAGTCCGATAACAACTAACCTGTAATTTTTATAATCAATCAACGGATCATAATTGAATGCTGCGTCATTAAAAACCGACCAATTGTTTCTTTCAAAATTTTGTCGACGTTCAGCTTGCAGCTGTGCATTTGCATCTCTTCGCGCCTGTGTCTGTTCTGGTGTTTCAGATGCCCTTATAGTAGATTGATGTTCAGCTTGATCAATGAGTCTGTGTTAAGTTTCATCAGGTGTTTCCGCGGCTCTTAAGGCAGCCTGACGTTCCGCTTGTTCGAATAGACTTTGAGCAGGTGTTTCAGTAGCTCTTAAAGTAAATTGACTGTTCAAGACGCCTTTGCTGACTTTGATCAGGTGTTTCAGTAGCTCTTAAAGTAGCTTGACGCTCTGCCTGTTCAAGACGCCTTTGCTGACTTTGAGCAGGTGTTTCAGTTCAAGACGCCTTCGCTGACTTTGAGAAGGTGTTTCAGAAGCTCTTAAAGTAGCTTGACGCTCTGCCTGTTCAAGACGCCTTTCCTGACTTTGAGAAGGTGTTTTGGAAGCTCTTAAAGCAGCCTGACGCTCTGTCTGTTCAAGACGCCTTTGCTGACGTTGAGAAATTGTCTCAGATGCTCTAAAAGCAGCCTGACGCTCTGCTTGTTTTTGCCTTCTCAGTTCAGCATCTTTTAAAGATTCTAGCCATCGAGCTAATCTTTTCGCTTGTCTTTGAGAAGATACTCTTGAAAGGCTGGACTTACGTTTGCGAGGCATTATGAAGTAACAAAAAACCTATTTAAAAAAAAACGTTAAAATACCTAAAAAGGAATTAAATTTCCTTTTAAACATTTTTTTAAATCAAATCCAAAATATCTTAAAGGAATAAATATTCCTTTTAAATATTTTTTAAAATCAAAACAACAAAACCAATTCAAGACACAACACGAATCCGAAAACGATAGCCAAAAAAAAAATCGAATCAACTTAAACCAAATCACAAAACAAATCGCAGAAAACCGAAATCGAAAGCAGTAGTCAATATAAATATAACCAACGAAAAAAGAAGTAAGCGTATAGGTGTCATATACACTATGTAGACTATTAATATTCCTTTGAAATATTGTTAAACAACCTAAAACAACGAAAATCAATTCACGATTCTAAATAAACAAAATCCAAAATCAAAGCCAGAGTCTAAATATGTATAAAGGAATACCAACCAAATCAACAAAACTGATCCAAGACAACACACAAATCCGAAAATGAAAGCCAATATAAATCCATTCAACCTTAACCAAATCACAAAGCAAATAACAAAGAACCAAATCGAAAGGAGGTAGTCGAATAAGCTACGAAATAGAAACAATTTAAGCGTATAGGTACCGTATGCACTATAAGTTGACGCGTGGCTCAACGGCGTGAGTTAAGTACATGTCAGGAAACATTTCGTTAGCGCGTTTTAAAAACCTAGTAACGACATCTAGCGGAATCAATTTAAACTATATATACGTTAGTTAATAAGAACTCTCAAAAAATATTTTTCTTATAATTTTGCACAATTTTTCTTATTGTAATACCGATTCATTCAT